ATGAATTTTTGTTGCTGTCAGTGACCAGAATTTGCTTGAATATTTTACACCTGCATGAATGCTATGGCGTAACTGGGAGTGGTGAAAAACCATTAGTTAATGTGTCCCGGACTAAATCTTAATAACATGCCACTTCTATGAATCAGCATGCAAACAGGAATTAGGTTAGAGGCTTGTTAATTGCAGCTATTCACCACTCTGAGTTATTTGATAGATCTTACATGGAATACATATTCACTTGAATTCTAATCATAATTTTCCTTTGGGCTTCTCCCATCCAAAAGATTAAAGGGCAGTATTTCAGTGAGTTAGAACAAACAAAGATAGCTAGCTAGACAGAAGAAACCAATCTCAGTTTAACGTGAGATACACTATAAGAGCCATCACATTTAAATTCTATATAGTAATTCCCTTTGTTTGTTTATTTAGTTATTTATGCTATTGAGCAGTATTTAAACAAAGATGTATCAAATGAAGGAAAAGTCATGTTCTCACATTTTAAGAATTAGGAGACGCGCTTGTGGCGGCAGAACCACATAAAGTTTCTCTTTCAGGACGGCATCCACAATCTTCCTGCCTACAGAAGCTACATCGAGGATAGGAAGTAGAAATGTAGGTCTGATAGAAAAAAGAAAAAGCATTGATTCTAAAAAAGTGGGGGGGGGGGGGGGACGACGACGACACCCTGATTTGACCAAAAAATTATTAGTTCCACACACCTACATGCATCCCTTGCCTTGAGCACCAAGTTTCATTTGCTGAGGCTCTTTACTTAGCCTTTTCTAAATTTGTATGAATTCATTGTCATTCAAAAGCCAGCACTTACTTTATATTTACACCAGCAACTTGTATTCAATTCACATAACTAGGACACACAATGGTGGTTTTAATGCCATTCTTCCCTTCCTTCCTCAATTCAAGAGTAAGAGACTCCAAAAATCCAAATGCTGCATATTTACTGGCAGAATAGTCTGCAAAGTGGAAAAAGCAGAAAGATTAAAACATTGAGTAGAGTAGTACTGTATCTTTCAATGAAATTAGAGAACCATGTTCTTCTGAAAACAAATGACTTACGTTACAGCTCTCTTAAAACCCAGTTGTGGTTGAATGCAAATTTGGATGTACAGAGCTGGTGTACTTTTAAACTTTTGTTTCCTGATGGAAAACAAGAAATGCTATCTTCTTGCCCTGATGGCAAGCTTCATTGCAGTATCTGTCTTAATAACAGTATAAACAGAATTCCACCAGGATCTCTCAATTTCTATAAATTAGTAGTGATTCAAAATTCCAGGAATAACATGTGGATTTGCTTTTCTTAAACACTTCAGAGCATATGTGTGGATTTGGGCTCTAACCCAGTTCACACCAAAATAAGGGCATATATATTGGCATCCAACACATACTGTGCCCTTTTGGGGATACCTCAACTTGATCCTTGTCCATGCTGGTATTGGTACTTTCCTGGCTTTCCAGGGGAAGAGGACAGTCCTATGAATAGGACCATGCAAACAGGGAAGCCAGATTTCTTTCCACCACATGGAATTCCATCTCATCCCTTTCTCTTTCTCAGACCTCTCATATATTGTCCATAAGACAGCAAAGTAGATCTCTTCAAGAAAATAAAAGGTTTATTTCTGTTGATTCTGTTCTCTTCAGCCAGAACACTTTCCTGGGTTACCTGTTTGTGGAAATTTATTTATATTTATTTATTTATTTTATTTCTATCCCGCCTATCTGATCATATTAGACCACTCTAATTCACACATCCCAAATTCGATCTTCATCCGTGTTGGAAGGGGTGGGGAAAAGAGTCATCCCAATAGTCAGACCACATTTATTGAAGATGATTTGGGATGTCCCAATTATAGCCCATGTATGAAATGCCAATGGCGATAGTAGTTTTATGTTTCATTTTGTTCTTGCCAGGCATGTTTCCCCAAATCACCACAAAACAAATGACAAAACGGCCTAATTTGTGGATCTTTTTTCCTTCATGACTCATTTTCTGCCCATCTCTATTGCAATCCAGACACTCAAAGGAAGGTTTCCTTCTATACCAGCATCTTGCGCTTTAACATATATTCCCTCAATTCTTTTCTTTAAGTAGTTAATTCTACAAACCGAGACACTTTGTTTTGTAGTAGTTCTGATACAATTAGCTCTGAGTTTTAATTACATAGACGTAATATATACCCTAATTTCCCGCCAACCTAGCGGTTCGAAAGCATGCAAATGCAAGTAGATAAATAGGGACCACCTCGGTGGGAAGGTAACAGCGTTCCGTGTCTAAGCCACACTGGCCATGTGATCACGGAAGATTGTCTTCGGACAAACGCTGGCTCTGTGGCTTGGAAATGGGGTTGAGCACCGCCCCCTAGAGTCGAACACGACTGGACAAAAATTGTCAAGGGGAACCTTTACCTTTACCT